AGTTTTTTTCATAATTGGGTCAACTGAATTATTGCAAAAGTTGCTTTCTTTCACCCTTAATCGCCAAGTTGGAGTAGACCCATCTTGTTGGAGGTCTATAGGCGTAGACCGGAATTTGGTTTAAATATTTCAGCAGACTTCTGTTAGGCACGGCAGGATAACCGTGCAATATTCAATAAACTCCGGTAGTCTACCAATAATATGTATAAAGGCGTTACAGGATACACTATAGTCTAACCAACGGGGAGTTTAGAATTATTCGCCCTCTAATAAAGCTGCACTGAATTGAACTGAACATCTACGGACATATTTCACCAAATCTACTTCGAAACCTCAGCATCCTTTGTTATTTTGTATTCTCAATCCCCTCTATATTTACTAAGACAACGATGTCTTTCGGTAAGGATTAAGTACAATTATCACCGTACAGTATTTAACTATACATTAATACCTACTTACTTCATTGTAGTCAACCTTTTATTTTGTGTACGTATCCAGCATTTACAATTCATTGCATTCCCCACACGAAAATCTTGGGCGTCCTGCGGTTACTTTTAGTTTTACTAGATTTAATTTAGTTTGGCATATTTTTTTAGTTAAGCCCGCTTAGTTGCGTTTGCTTTTTGTTTAGGTTTAGTCAAGTTTACTTTTATTTTAATTTATTGTTTTGTTTAGTGTTCAGTGTGGTTAGTATGATTTAATTTAGTTAACTTAGTTTAGATTTAGCTTAATTTATTGTAGTTTTCATTTGAGTTTAGTCTTCAGTTTATTAACGAGAAGCGGCCGCTCTTCGGCTTGAAAATAGGTTAAAAAACTTAGCTCTCATGCTTTTACCTTACACTGGAAAATTCGTAGTTGTTTGCGCATTTCCGCAATTAGCGCAGTTCCGCTATTTGCGGTGTACTTGTCTTTCATTGGTTGCATTTCTCGTTTTAATTATCGGGCGCTGTTTTGTTGCCAAGCGTTGGTTTATTTAAATACTTATTCCTATTATGTTCTTCTTTTATACGCTTATTTCACCTGATATGCTCCACCCATATAACCCCTATTTCAACCAGCCCCCTATTATACAAGCCTTGCTGTTTTTTATTACTGTTGCAAAGATTATACTGAAGCCTCACCGCCACTTTTCGTTTTGATCTTTTCTTCATCAAAAATGCCCTTGAAGTATCTTTCACGAGTGTGCCGATTCCCTATCATTCCAGCTTGGCTGCGTTCGCCTCCTCCGAGGCCTATTTCTGAAGCTCCAAAATTGTGCAACACATGCCACGGGATTTGGCAAAATCAGACACATCTTCCCAGCCGGAGAACCAATCTGTTTCGAAGTAATTGAAAACGAAGGCACGGTACTGGATGGAACAATATCCCTCTATAAGAAAGATGGGGCTTCCTACAGTCTGATAAAGGAGACGATCTTTGAAAATTTGCAGTTTAACTGGACTCTCACGGAGGTGAGTAGGGGTTTGGACAATAGTTTTCCTGTATGTCCGGAGCCCATATTTTCGGTTCTAATTTTTGTTACGACCCACGCCTGGTACTTTTAATTCGCACGAACCTGTTCTCAAGAGACGACAAGAGAGACAGAGAGGAGACCAGTCCGCCAGAAAGAGATAGAACGTGTATTCAGACAGAACACGTGAGTGCAAGTCATGTCAGACACAGTGTGCATGTACTTTAAAGGGAACACAAGAGACATCGTCCGGCCATGAGCCA